AGGTCCACCCAGCTTTTCCCCAACGGAGATTCATAAGTTGGGCCACATTTTTCGTTGATAATGTATAGATTATGCATATTGACAAACTCTTCAAATTGCCTCCCACGCTTGTTTTCAACAATATCATACCAAGTGTAACTCCTGGCATTAGAATCAACTCCCATAATAAGTTTAGAAGATGGAATAATACGGAACATTTGGTCAAGAGAGAGTAACATGTCCTCAAGTGGGTCGTTGGGTGGGCAATAGCAGGAGCAGATGTAGTAGGCCTCATCATCCAGTTGAAGGGTAACAAGTACGCAGGTGTTGTTGCTAATCTGATCTAGCATCAGAACTGGGAGGTTAGAATTACATATGACAATACAGGCCCAAGGAGTATGCCTATCATCTGCAAAAACCCTAAAAGTGGATGGAAAGCCTGTAACGATATTATTGAAAGTATATGGTTCTTGGATTAATAGGATATCGATGGGGGTTTCACTTAAAAATTGCACCAGACTGTCCGTAGCATCTCTGGAGTGTTTTAGATTGAGTTGCATAACATTCAAGGATAGATTAGTAGCCATATTCATCATAATTTGTGTTTTCTATTAACTTCTGCTTTACTGCTATCATTCTAGGACAGTTTGGATCTGAAGCTTTATGATGAAACTCACAGTTTTGGTTTTTTGAATATTGTGACCAGCGAATACAATTAATGCACTTGATACAGGCGTTGTTATTCTTGTTTTTACAGTTTTTGAAATTATGATCCTCCTCCCCACAATGACTGCATGCTGGGTGCTTGGGGACACAGTTTGATGCCACATGGCCAAATTTACAGCAATTAAAACATTGACGTATGCCTACATGATCCAGAACTGGAGAGGAGTGAAGTCCAACATACACTGTACGGTTCTTCTTAAGAAGATATCTCAACTTAGGGGAGACTCTAATTACCCAAGAATTACTCAAGTCAGAACGTGATGGTATCGGGAAGAGAATCTTCATTTCTTCCCCGCTTTTGATAGCATTTTCTATGCATTCATTTTGGGAGCACAGACAATCAAACAATTCATTTGCATTGAGGTCCTTATCTATATGTTGTATCCGGATGACAGGAAGCAATTTGGTTTTCCGTTTTGCTATATACTGGAACCCTTCAGCTCTCTTGGTGTCAATGAGCTGTAGGGCCCTATCCAAATGTTCTGTATTAGGTAACTGCAGTTTCACTCTACCATTTTTCATCACTACACAGCTATCAACGCTTATTCTAGACTCTCTGGGACACAATAATTTCATTAGACTAGTCTTTACAGTTTTAGGGTTCTCCTTACCTTTGTCCTCAGAATTCGGTATTAAAATCAAGGTTTCTCTTTTTTTATTAGAGGCGTTGCGAAAACGCTCCTGAAGACCATCAGAATTCCTTGACAAGCAATCCGCGTACGATTTGACTCGTGCTTGGACTTCTGTCTTTTCATTTTGGAGTTTAATAAACTTGTCCTGTATATCGGCGTGCTTCTCAACAGCTCCGAGTTGGAGATCAACGAGCTTCCGCAGTAATTTAACGAACTTATGAAATTCTTGCTGGTTGACCGGTCTTTTGCCGACTATTGGAGAAACCAGCCCTTTGACTTCCTCTATAACTTCGATGAAACCTAGATTGTTTACCTCTTCGTCGTTAGACTCCTGTGTAGATTTCGGTTTACGGCCACCCATAACAAAGGATGGTTAGGCCTAACCGCCGTCGGTGCACGTGGTCAGACAATAACACGGTACACACCAGTTAAGAGTGCTGTTCTGCGTACGATGGCTCGTCGGGCACTTATCAGCCTGTTTATGGACACAGAACGCCAAAAAGACGCAATAATGCACAAAAATTCACAAAATTAGAAGACTCACCAAAACCACTGACGATACATAAAGCGCCACCTAACGGCCTTTCCCGAGGCCAACGCCTTATGCTATAAGCAATACAGTATACAATGGCTTACGTCCATAGACATAAATATTCTCAGTTAAGTGATACAGGCGTAACAAATTACTCTGTAACCCAGGCAGATTCTCACATTAGGGTTTATTTCTATTATCATCTCGGTCCTACATACGTAAAAGTGTTCATTCTTGTTTTTGTTCTAAAGTAAGTTTTTACATGACCCTTTACATGCCGGAATGACATAAATCCAAAGTTTGTATCTAAGCTTGTCCTTACAATACTGAAGTGTATCGATGTTACAGAGAATAATCCTTGTTAATTTATAGTTACGTGCTTTTAGGGAATTATCGTGTTCGCAAATTTCTACAGTTAAACATTCTAGTAATTAATTGTTTTTTAAACAGAAAATATATTTGAAATTATTAGAAGAAATACTTCAATGAAAATTTAACATTGAAGTATTATCGACATTGGAAGTCTTATTTTCAATTAATTTTACAAAACTTTCGTGTTTCCCAACCATTGTTGGAGAACCATCCGTTGCTAAGCCCGATTAGTTGTTAAGTTGTAAAGAAAAGCGATTCAATGTCGATGTAACTGTCTCTAAGAAATCTCGTCACATATATATTTATGGATTTTTTTTGTTTATCTTTTTTCTTTTTACTCTTTTGGATTTATGAGGTGTAGAAACATGGGATTTATTTAATTTCTATGCATTGACGTTTGTTGATTTTTTTTTAAATCTTGCGCGTATGAAAACGAGTACGTTTATTGTTTTTATGACTAGTCTAATTGTTTATTTTCGTTATATTTATTATTTTTTCTGCTCTATCAAAGATATATGTCTCCACGTGCAACGAGAGTTTAGTTTTTGTAATAATTAATTGTTATTTTTAATTTTTCATAGCAGATGGCAGCGCAGACGAACTATGTTCTCTTTTTGTCACTTTTCACGAGCAGTTTTTCTACACATTCGTTATATATTTTCCAGTTATACGAAACATAACTCATACAAAGATGGACTACTGACATCAAAACTACAGCAGACCCCCGCCTATACCACTGTTGATAATTCCGTGTTTTATGAACTCCATGTTGTACGAGTCACTTAGATTTTCCAAATACGTTTGCCGGGCTGTGAACGGCTAACGTATTTGTAAAATCATAGTGACTCGTACAACATGGAATTCATATAACACGGAATTATCAACAGTGTTATAGGGAGGTCTACTGTATTCAAATAAATTATTCATTACAGGATATAACAGTTCGTGTAATGTTGACCTATTCATAGTTTTATAAAAGCAATCACGCATAAATAAAAATTGTTTAACATGCAATAGAAGTACAGTCGACCCCCCATAACACGGTAGATACGTTCAGGTTTTATGAATCCATTTTTTACGAGTCCAGCCAATCACAGCCCGGCACGTTTGCAGTTTACAAACTACGGCTGTTTGAAAGTTTTTCATCCATAAAATTAATCGATTCTAGTCTAATTCGACGGAACATTTCCAAAATACGTAATATTTTTTCGCCGTCATATAGGAATCTATACTATAGGAACCCGTTTTATAGGGGTCTACTGTACATAAAAATTTCACATAATCTGTGTCTAAAATCATAATTTACCTCACGTAAAAAAATTAATTTATGAACATAAATCAGGTAAATTTATACAAAATATAAAGTAAAATTTTGTTTGAAATTTAACTAGAAGTTTTCTTGCATAATGTGTTTTACCCGATTGTTTTTCTTTGTACAGCACAAAAAAGGAGTCCTTTACACTCACCGGGCAAGAACGAGCAATCGTTCCATATGCCGCTATGGAAGAAGTGATCCTTGTACCCGACTGTGCAAAGATACAAACTTCACACTCCCCTCACCAAAGAGCCTATTCTAGTACATGCAGGTGACAGAAGAAGCCATATTTGTACTACTCGACAGTAAGAGGAAGGATAGCCGACGGGCAAACAATTCGCAAAGTGAGTGCGGGAATACGAACACGTGAAGACAAGAGAAAGAAAGCTACATTCTGAACCGAGAGATAGTAGAGGCTAACTGGTTGAAGTAGTGTCATGCTGCTGACTTGCAGCGAAGCGGCTGTGAAGCCAAAACCTTTTAATAAGGAGGATAAAAAACCGGGATAATGTGCAGTATAGTAAGAGTACAGAAAAGATAATAGAAAACAAAGAAACATATTGCCCTATTATATGCAAAACCAGTCTTTACAGTCCCACAAAAACTACGATTTGAGTAAAACTTGTGTAAAAGTTTGTTATGATTTATTAGATAAGGATTTTTGTGTTAGTACCGGTTGTACGACATCAATTTCTGGCACGAATCGTGAAATTCCCAGCCTTTTGACAGATGGAACGTGAATGTAAGTGTGTCTTAATGAGTAAACGTGAAACTAACTATAAAAGTTTAAGTTTATATCAGAACCAAACCTTATAAATAACAGCAATGTAATAGCTAGCAAACGACTAACAAAAAAAGCACATGTAGTTTTTGTTTTCGTGAAGGTCCGAAACCTCTAATAAACCTCGTGATTAGGTAAAAAAAGGAAAAAGGGGGCTTCTGCAGTCGATGACCGAGACGATCTCCTCGAAAAAAATTGTTAAAATATCAATAAAAAAATCTCCTCCATTTGTTTAAAGGTAATTCTATAGACGTTAATATCAACAAGACAGGAGTAAGAAATTTTTTACCCCCTCTTTGGTTGCACGTGACACGTGGTTACAGCAATAAATCGCCTCGTTCGTAATCAAACGCGACGTTTGATATAAACAATATCTAGATAGTTGACCAGGTTAAAGAAATTATTGTCAGCTGAATGTTAATTTATGGATGAGAGCCGTCAAACCTATAGAAATTTATATTATGAAATCATATCCTCTAGACACCAATATCAATAAATTAAACAAACTTCTCTGTGTCAGTTGTCCGTACAAGCTAGATCCAAACATCAACACACGAACAGGTGTGCGTATGAATCATTAATGATGTCATAGTTTTCACCCTCTCAAAAATAGTATAAAGAGGGCTTGGACGTAGTCCACAAGGCGGACATTTACAACGCGGATATTTAATAGGCGGACATCGACTGACACACCTACTGACCCATACCGCCACCCTATCCGTCGCTACCTCGCCATAACTGCTGTGACGATCGAGGAACGTTTTTTCCAACGACCCATATTACGGATCGGGAACATACAGGTATTTTTTTTTTATATCTATCTGTATACTTTCTCTCTCTGCGAAATCTCTTTCTGAGAAGTCTATTTTCTAGAGATCTCTCTTTCTCGTCTCTTAACTTTCTATAATAGAGATTANTTTTTTAACGCTACGGAACCCGCTCGAGACTGGCTCGAGCATGATTAAGAAAACTTATTTTTTGCTTATTTATTGTTCATTTGTATCTAATGAAATGTTAATATCTTGTTGATGTATTTTTCGTTTGTATTCAAACAAAAGTTTTTTCTCGTTTTTATGGTTTTTGGTAATAATGAATATGTAATATTTTAATGTCAAAAAATGTATTTAATAAATTAAATTTTTTGGATAAATGTTTCTGAATAAACTATTAATTTGCGTTTCTCAATAAAATTATTTAACGCCACTTTATAAAATTGTTATAATTATAATCTATATATATAGAAACGAACGTATAACTTTCTGGCTGTTGTCTTTCATGCATTACTATGTGTTTTTTTGGTAAATAATGAATTTGTAATATTTTAATGTCAAAAAATGTATTTAATAAATTAAATGTTTTGAATGAATGTTTCTGAATAAACTATTAATTTGCGTTTCTCAATAAAATTATTTCAAGTCACTTTGTAAGTTTCTTATAGTTTTAATCTATATATATAGAAACGAACGTATAACTGTCTGGCTGACTTTCANCCATCAAAACTAAGCTTTTTGCCATTTCATAATAATTAAAAATATAAAAAGTTTTTTAAAATAAAATATAACAAATTGTGCCACGATAATTTTAAATGTAGCCAAGAAAGTAAAGCAACTCGTTGCTGGATTTTTTTTTTTAATTTCTGGATATTCTACATCCGTTTATTTTTCCTCTCACTCCCTTTGCAGCTACAAAGCGAGCCAGTTGTTAAAAATTTACCTACACACCGTTGCATAACATTTATGTAATTTGAGATATCCATTATGGGATATATAATTGTCTCAAGTTTATTCATTATGAGCAGTATTTTCAGAGAGGGATTCCCATATCTTCCCTACTGATCCCATGATTATTGCTGAACATGCTCATTTCATTCTTCATTAAAAGATTGAATTACAGTAGAGCATCGTTTATCCGAAGGTCGTTTATCCGAAACGTCGGTTATCCGAAGGAATTCCAGTCGACAAATTTAAATTTTCGCCAGTGCTGTGGCGCTGTAATCGGTACTTATGGGTTAAGAGGATGCCAGTCGGAAATAGCTATCAAAGTCGCGATTTTGAATGAAAATATCAAAATAACAATAGACTAGTAAATTTAAATGTAAAAAGAAGAAAATTTACTGATAAGGCTGTAAAAATGAAAAAAAAATCAATTAGGATGATTATAGATATCACCTATTTGCCATATTTGCTGTATACACTACAAAACAATTTGCATATTCAAGTGGTTTATTATTAGAATTTGTGAGATTTTGTTATATCTTTATAAATCGTAATTTATTGTTTAATTTAACAATTGTATTAAATTTGACAAATAAAAAATTGCATTATTCGGAAAAAAAGCTATTTCTGATTGACATCCTCTTAACCCATCAGTACCCAGAAAATTTTGGATTACCAGACAATAAAGATTACTGTGGACAGATTAGCAAACTTTTAATCTACTTTAGGTAACTGTTACAAATTTTATAAATTAATAATACAGATATACCATGCTTTAACTAATTCAGACAACACTGGCACCATTTATATAAGTACACACAAACATAGTTATGAAAACTACTGATGATCTGTAAAGAGGTCAAAAACATTTTTACTAATATTTGGTTCCTGAACTAAGCAATTTTGGTATATANTTTTCTTCCATAAAATTAATCGATTCTAGACTAATCCGACTCAACATTTCCATAAAATTAATCGATTCTAGACTAACCGACTCAACATTTCCATAAAATTAATCGATTCTAGACTAATCCGACTCAACATTTCCAAAACACGTATATTATTTTTGGGAATAATCCGTATAAACTACGCTATAAACAATAAATTGTAGGATTACTTACCGAGTGTGCACCATTCGACATCGCCATTGCTAAAGCTTGTTTTCGTCGTGGAACAGCTCAGCAAACAGCGGCCGATTTCTAATAACTTATTTTTCTATGAAAACTTCGTTGAACTTTGTAGACATCATTAATATAAATAATTTTAATCGCCGTTAAATAAGAAATGTTTCTTTCACAAGAAATCTATAAAATTACAGTACTGTATTGGACTTACGGTACCTATTTACATACTGTACAGACGATAGTTAGCGTAAAATCTCCGTAGCGTGGCGCCCTGTGGCGGAAAAAATATATATAATTATAATAAAGTTACAATAAATTAATTTCCTTATATGGTGTTAAGCACTTATGGAATAAGGGNTTTCGTTGACTCTTGAATAAGAACTAGTTTCTCTTAAATCAAATCCTTCCAAACGGCATTTTTCCCCTGCACGCCTATTTGGCCATTCTACAAGGACTACTCTTCAGTCACCTAGCGATGAAACCATGCTATTTGGAGTAAAGAGTCTATCTGCGCTGAACAATGCATATCAACAAAACAAAAGGGAATCGGGTGAGAAAAATAATTATTTTTGCGTGCAAAAGCAAATGAGAGATGCCTAAGTAAAAATTCAGGTACAGCCTGAAATTTTTTGAAACGTGTTTATATTTATACAAAAATAAATGTTTAGATTTTAATATGAGCAAGTTTTTGTTGATTTATATACAGTATATATTTTGATGTTATTAACCAAAATATTAAATATTATTGTTGTCGAAATTTTTTAAAATATTGTAATAATTTTAATTTGTTTTAGCACATAGTCAATGTATGTTTTAGCACATAGTCAATGTATGTTTATTTTCAGCACATGTCGTGCTGAAAATAAACTTTGAGGTCTCAAACACAAATGCAATATCTCTATATGAAATACCAGATGATCAATAAAAGTTGTTTATTTCTGATTAAGACTTTCTCATTTTTCAGAAAGAAAACACTAATATAATAAATCCTAGTAGACATAAATTTGATTTGATTCATGTTCTAAGAGAAATTTATTATAGGAACCGATAAAAGTCAAGATAAGTACAAATAAAAACGATTGCACTAATAAAAATGACTCTTGCTTTTCGAAGTGAGATTTTTTTCTTTCTTAACCCCTTGAACTTCGATCAATTTTTGATATTAATGTAATTAAACGTAAAAAATACTTAACACTGAAAAAAACGAAAAAATGCGTTAATGTTGAAGAAAAAGATTCGAACTCTATTTTCCATTGTCTCGCCTTTCTGCGAAATTTAACACTGATGACTCATTGTGTTTACAGCTGGATGACCTTGAGAACAGCTGGTGTTGGATTTCCCAGGACATTCTCATAAAAGTCACGGGAGGTGAAATGTTTATAGTAGGGTGAATACTAGCTGGCCGTATATTTTTAAATATTTTTAAAAAATTACGTTCTTNACGTTCCAGAATAAATCCCTGCATTTTTGAACATGGAAGCAGAAAGAAGAAACTAGCATGACCTTGTAAAGCTATAGAAACTGTGAGAGAGAAGATTGAATGGAACAAAGCAGTAAAAATAGTTTGGGTCCCAAAAGCTACTTTAATGAGGTCTGCTTCCCAAGTGCCTGAGACAACCGTGTGTCAGTCTCTTGCCCTTCTCTCCTCCTCTCTCGTTCGCCCCGCAATTTAAGGGATTTGGAACGGGGACTTCCGACCAATCACAATCCTTTTTCATGCCTGAACAGCTTACACTCGGGTCCGCCGTTATCCGACAAGAGTGAAGCTTACACAAACATCCGCCACTTGTTTACGTTCGTTTGTTTACCATTACCGTCTGACTGCAGGTGGGTCCAATTAACAAAGCCGGCGCTTCCTTTGTTTACCCTTGTTTACAAGTCAATACTTTACAAGTGGTATTACCTGACCGCACGTGGGTCCAATTGACAATGTCGCGCCTCTTTTGTCCCCACTCTGCTAAAAGGTCACTACTTTACATCTCCCACCGACAAGGTTCAAACTGCGCTTTAACAAAAGCCTGTTTGACCTAAACATACACCATCACCACGCACCATAATTATCATTACACAAATCAGTTCTTACAATACATTTCCCCCTTTTTCTAATACAAGGAGCAGATTACTATAGACATTATGGTATACTAACAAATTATTTACCGTTATAAGTACTTAACATCTAGCAGACACATATTTACAGTACAATACTATCATTGACAAATTGTTCCATTAATCTATATTCAGAATCACCTTGTAGATATCACTTAAATCTATCCGAAGGACTTAATACGACATTTAATATGCCTTGCTCGTCTGATCTGGAGGTTCCGGACTGCTCCAGACTTCCAGCCTGGATAGGGCGTCAGCATTAGTACGCTTTTTCCTTTTTCTGTGCCTGGTCGCGACATTGTATTTCCGTGACGCTAATGCCCAACGTATCAATTTCGTACTATGAGGTGTACGGTCATTTTGCCGAAAGGGAGTGCGTACCTGACAACTACTACATGCCTCGCAATATATTTTTATATTGCCCCTTTTATCCACCTTAGGGTTTGGACTATCTCCTTTGCTAACCCTTTCACCTATGACCCTCTCGCTACGTTTTTTTCCGTTTTTTTTTTCTTCCCGTCCGCTTGGCTCCCTTTAATGCGCAATAATCGGCTGCCGAAAGTAACGCATCCGCAGCGCAGCTAAGCTCATCGGTCAAAGCGCAGGTAATTACTACTGGATCATAATAATTTTTCTTTCTGCCCAACCACCCTTTTAAGCTTACAGGTATGGTTACTAACGTTGCGGATACCTGCTGTCCGAACGCGCCGATTAACTTCGTCTTACCCTCTGTACGGGATATGTAATCGGGTATCAAAGCCTTTCTCATCACCGTTATTTCAACCCCAGTGTCTACTATTGCAGAAAATTTTCGACCTTGATAAGTAAGCAGGAGGTTTTCGTTTACGCTAGCGGGTAAGTTTCCACTAATCGTATCCTTTCCGATTCTTACCCTAGCTACTAACTTCTCATCAGACTTTACCGTTTCGTCTAACGTCGTTACCACTCGCGCTGCTCTAGACCTCAGCATTTCATCCTTAACACGTCTCCGAGGGCAATCACGTTTGAAATGTCCCGTCTGATCACAAATATAACATTTCATTTTTGATTCCCTCCGCTCTGGCTCTCTATTGTTCACGCTCACACCCCCAGTTCCAAAGGCTGTTCCTTTATCTTTTTCGGATTTACACCTGAACTCCCCATTTCCAACTGCTTCCGCATGCTTTTCAGCGTTTCTGGCTATCTCTTCCGGCAGGAACCAACCCTTACCCTCTTGCAACAAAACGTAACACCTAGTGTCGGCATCTAGCTTAGTCTTAAGGTGGTCCGAAACAACTAGCTTCGTCAATCTTTCGAAGGAATCTACGCCTCTACTATTCAAATAGTACCGATATAGGTCTTCCATCCTTGCCGCGAATTGGGGCNTAATTTATATATAATTAATATATAATTATATGTACAGTACCTAATTTATATATAATTTATATAATACTGTCCAGACGATAGAAATCTCTCTGTAGTTGGCGCTACGGACGGCGGGAAAGTAGTTCGGCTGCCCGATGACGTTTGAGGTAATTATAGGGGGTTTTTTACTGTTTTTTACGGATACGTCACAAGGATTGACAGTTCCTTCTGTCAATAGGTATTTTGTGCTTTTGAATGTCAGTTAAAAATCTGTTTGTTAAGAAACAACACTTATCAAATTTAGAAAAATTTTATCAATCCAGTTCCATAATAGATATATCTGTAAATACGTTTAATCAAATTTCTATGACCATTTTTCAAATTAAAATTATAGAATTCTTGTATAAATTATTTAACAATCAATAATACTGTATTTAAATTCCTTTGAATATGTTTTAAATAAGAATTTCCACACATTTCATCATGGAAGTGTTTATTAATGTAAGTGCCAGGAAAAAGTAATGTTGCATTTTTACTGTAATGTTTTCATAGTAAGCTATTTTTGTTTGTGTTGCGTAGGAAAATATAAAGCGAAGTGATATTCGGTGTCTATATTTAAGTTTCCACAGGATTTCATTTGAAAAGCAAACCAATGGATTAGAGAATTTGTAGAAAAAATAACTTATTATTTAAATGTTTTAACAGTTATGCATTAAAAACTATGAATTATGTTTAGGTGAAAATTATATTAAATTGTTAACTAATCTGCATTTTCACTTAGCATATTCTGTTGAAATATGTATAAAACATTAAATACAAGTTTCTGTAAGGTTAAAAATACTGTATCGGCTAATAAAGAATGTAATAAAAACTTTGCAATTTACATTTGTTGTTTTCGATTATTTTATTATTATAGTAAATGTACAAAAATGCTTTATTAAAATGAAAAACAGATAAAAGTTACTTCTTGATGTTTAAAACTTTCTCAACATTAAAATCTTTCATGTCAAGTAGATTAGCTTAATTGAAAATTTTTCAATAATTTTAACATTAAAATGTCAACACACAAGAGCTAGTGAAATTATAAAGTGTCTTTAATCGAGTTTTAGATGAAATGTCTATAATTATAATGTCTGCCCACACTCTCTTACAAAGTTTAGGCTAATTGATCAACATTTCCAGTAGGTTGAGGTGATTCAGCGGACCAATCAGCGCATTGTGCCGTCTGGATATTTAGTTGCGCGTTTGTGTGTTGGCTCGGGTTTTGTTGATGCGTAAGGAAAATTTCCCGTCCAAAATATTGTATCGTCCAAAATGTTTCCATTGTATTCCATAATTCCCTTAATGCCATTTTTTTTAGGTAATTTGAACTCGTCCATGTTTTCCAATTCTCCTTTTACATTAATTCAGAGTTCTACCATAGATATTCGATACCATTCTTCTGATAATATCTTGAAATTGTGTTTTGGTTCCTGTTCGATATTTATGATTATTGTAGAGCCTTTTGTCGGTTCTGCCCCCAAAATTAAAAGCCCGTTAAATTCAGTGAATTTAATCAAAAATCAAAGCCAGTAAAATGTAAATATAAAAATAGTCAAAAGTCAGTGAATCATTTATTNCGGGCTATGATGAGTTGGACAGCGCTGCTCTAGAACAATTTTTTTTAACAAGACAACCCCGCTCCCCCTCTCCGTGACTTTTGTCCCGCTTTACCAATGTGTGTCTTGTTATACAACTCTCTATTTTCACTAACTCTCTCGAAATTTTTCACTAAATACTACATATTAAAATCTCGGTGCCCTTCGGGTTATTACTTACAGCTACAGAGAGGTCTAAATAAATAAATTTATAATCATTTCTACGTACAGTACATTGTATATATTAATTTCACAACATAATTGGTCTGCAAGGTAATGGAATGAAAAAAACGTGTGTGAACAAAAGGTACGATAAGCGTTGCTCTAACACATGTTGCATCTATTGTTATAAAATATTTTATTTTCAAACAGAGAAACTTTCTACGTAGTATTAATCGCACATCTTACAGTAACTTATATCTTATTGTTATATAACTTTACATCTTAAAATTAGAGAGATTTGTTATATAAAGCATATATGTTTGTAAATGTAGATAATACATTTATAGTTTTAAGCATTTAGTCTGAATTTTAAAGTTATTCGGTTATTTATTATTTCATTTGTATTTACGAAGTTAATATCGAAAAATAAACCGTCTTTGTCAAATATAAACTCGGATTTAAGTATAGAACGTTACGATGTTACGAAAGCGTAACCAACACAGTTCATCAAAATGTGGTCCCAGCTTTTCCAAGTGACAAAACAGTTAATTACGTTTTAATAATAAGACGGCGTTGCTCAGATGTACTAAAATAATTATATGATTTAATATCATTAATTTTTTTGATATCATCTACGAATGCGTCTGTTGAGTGCAGTTTTTCAACTGTGAAGCAAATTCATACATTCATAAAAAGCACTCAGTCACGAAAGATTGTCGTCACCAGCGTTGCATTTGATAGAAAAAGAGCTTCTAAATACTTTGAATCGATGACGAGTGATTTTTACGATAAAGCAATTAACGACTTTGAGGAAAAAATGCTGAATAGAGTTAGATTATAAATAATAATAATTAAACAGAAAATAGAGAAATTGCTAAAGTAATACACACTTCTCTTTTTAAAAAATTGCTTTTAAACATTGTACTTTTTAAACAAACTTTGTACAATGTGTTATTACAGGATGCGAATAGGGTGTTCCGACACTATTATATTCCTCATCAGGAAATATCTATAGACGAAACATTGGTAGGGACAAAAAACCGTACCAGCATGCTACAGTATATGCCCAATAAAAAACATCATAAATGGGGAATCAAACTTTGGATGCTGTGCGACTCCGTTTCACATTACTGCCTGGGCTTTTTCACTTACAGAGGGGCCAAGTCCCAGGCGTCTCAAAGTTTGGTTTGGGATATGCTGTAGTCATGAAATTACTGGAAGTTGGCAACTACATCAATAAAGGGTACACGTTTTCGTTGATAACTTTTTCATGTCGGTATCCCTTATTCGCACCCTGTATTCCCTGAAAACTTATCTCACGGGAACGGTGCGGAGGAACAGAAAACTATTGCCGCCTCAGTTAAAAGGCAAATTTGACGTAGGTCAGATCTCGTATTGTAGGTCTGGTCCTATATTGGCATGTGGCCTTCGGGAAAGGAAAACAAAAATAGATCCAGTAATTCTTTTATCCAGCCACGCACGGGCGCGTGATGTCGAAATTGTTAAGCGCGGGGTGACTAAATCAAAGCCACAAATAGTTAACTCTTATAACAAATTTATGGGGGGGTGGATGTGTCAGGTATGATGATTTATGCGTATTTGGATGAAAGGAGGACTATAAAATATTGGAGGAAGGTAGCATTCAACATCATGGCGAGGATGTTGTTGAATGCTTATCTTCTTTACAAGGAGAATTCCCAAGGCCAAGCCAAAATTTTGTCACATGCTCAATTTAACAAGGCGGTAATAGAGAGCCTGGCGGAAGAATGGAGGGAGGAGCGGAGGAAGGAGAAGAGAGAAGATGTAGCCCCCAACCTAACCCCCGGGGACCAGTAGGCCTGAGAAAATTACCAGGAAGGTCACAATATCGCTGCATCGTTTGCAGCACGCCTGGACAGAAGAAAACATCAAGAACAGCCTGCATGCGATGCGGAAAGGGCCTTCATGCCGAATGCCTGTTCAGACATCATTGCTAACACAAAAGGTAAATTGATATATTTCTGTTTTAGTTTTTTTTAATATGCATGTTTCTTGCAAAATGTACAAAATGATATTTTCTCTTACAGATTTGGTCCCCAGGACATGCTGCTTCCTTCCTCCTCCTCTCTTGTATATATTCTGTATCTTTTTTCTTCAATTTGTAAATATTTTTGTAAATATTAATTAATTAATTGAGTTTTTTCAGATATTTTGCATTTTTTTTTGTACAAATTATAGTTTAGACAGTGATAAACAGTAAATATATAATTTTCCACATTTTTATTCAATTTTGTTGATTTTTCTGCAAAGTATAAAAGGAAATTTAACAAAGAAAATGTTAAAAAATGTTGTTAAAAACACGTTTTTCTGTTTAATTAGCAAACGGTAATGGTCACTTACAAATTCTATTAAACTTTTAAAAAAATGCTTAAATTTTAGCATTTAGTAAAAATTCTCAAGGATTTTAGGAAAAACAAGATAAAAATAATCCCTTCAAAATTTAAAGTTTATTTTACATAGCATTCGTATATTGATTCATTTAAAATTAATAATTGTGTATGAGAAATCTTATTTTTACATAAATATTTTCTAATATCAAAGCAATTAATATTAGTAATAACAAAAATTTATTAGATATTCTCATATATGAAAATATTAATCAGATAAATTTTTCTGAAGATTTCTATCTTTTGAAAAATAAAGTTACATNTATCTTATAGGGGGATCGACTGTAACTATATATACAGTACCTAATTTATATATAATTTATATATAATACTGTACAGACGATAGTAATCTCTCCGTAGCGTGGCGCTGGACGGCAGAAAGTAGTTCGGCTGTCCGATAACGTTTTATGTAATTATAGGAGTTTTTTACCGTTTTTTACGGATACCGTCGCAATTTTTTCGCCGTCTTATATAAATCGTAATTATAGGAACTCTTGTTATAGGGGTCTACTGTATTTAATAATGGTATATTACTTGCAAAATAAATCTTAAAAATGAAATTAGATTCTAACACGTATTTTCTATCATAATTTTTTACATCACTTTCATCAATAGGAAGATCGCCTAAGGTTAAATACAATTCTGCATCTTCAGCTGGTTTTGATAAATTCAGAACACCTCTTAAGATGAATTAATGATTAATTGAAGCAAATAATCTATTTTCAGTATTTTTTTAATTATATTGTTTGAATTTCATCAATTTTGAAATAATTTTCAAGATATGA